GTCTAGGAAACACACACACACACACACACACACACACACACAAAAAAAAAAAACCCATTAGCCATTTTTTAAGAGGAAATGCTACCCGATAACATGAGAAAGGGGCATCACCATTAAGAAAACCTACCAGTCTCCAAAAGCTTCACACTCCCTTGAGAATTTTCGGAGTTTCGAAACTCCAGCTCCTCCTCTAAAGCAAGAATTTTTTCTTTTTTTGCATTAAGGATTGCAATAAATTGTCCGTACAGAGTCTTTTCCCATTCTTCTTTTTCGCTAGCTATCTTCTTCATCTTAGCCAAGGCTTTATCTCGATCTATAAAATAAAAGTTTCACTTATTTAGTGACAGTCAGTAGGTACAGATATTCATAAATAGATATATCTGCAGTAAATAAGTATCTTGCCTGTCTTAATGGATATATTTTCATTTTCCACAATACTGAAATTTTCTTGAATACTAGACAGCTTATCCAACAATTTATCTACCATTTCCTCATAGGATGCTGTTACCATCACCTGTAAGAAGAAGTGTTACTTCAGACTCACAACTATACAACAACTAGAGCCCCAAATTACTTCTTACTTACTTCCTGTACTCTTACACGGCCTAGTTTGGCAAACGTAGTACCTCCCATAAACTTTTTCCAGTTGAAAAAATTGTCTTGTAGGGTGTATGTAAATTGATTTGATTCACTAGTAGGTGTTCCTATAGCAGCTCTCATCTCTTCATTGAAATAGGATAATTTCAAGTCAAACTCTTTAATAAAATTTGTAATGTCGTTGGCTGTGAGCTGTGAACAGAGGAAAGATACAGTGAGATTACCAATAAGTTTTAAGGAAAATTCCTGTGAGAACTGTACAACAGGAAAGGTTTTAAATAAACATTCTTAGCTGTGTGAAATTCTAATTTAATTTAAATAAGGACATGTTGCTTGTACATTGACTCACTAGGATTATTTGTCAAATTCATCTCATAATTTACACACACTGAGCACAGAAACAATAACTTAAATCACCCTCTTATCTAAAGAACATGAACCTGCTCTAAATTTTAGTCTAGCTCTTTTAAATAACAACTAGATCTACAAATAATAAAAAAAACATACACATAAATTTAAGTATTGAAGTAAAGTATGTACAACAGTAAGATAGATAGTTAAGTGAAACAAAACTTCTAAATTCAAATAATTGAAGAAAAAAATTACATCTTAAAGTAAGGCACAGTACAAATAGTTTTAAGAGAAACATGTAACTTTCGGTCAAAAGTAGGAAATGAGGAGGAATAGAAAAGAATAAGAAAATGTGAGCTCATTTAACAAGTTTAAGGGTCAGCTTCAAACTAGAGACAGAACGGTAAACTGAAATATTTTTCACAGACAAGAGGAAAATAGAACAAAATCACTTGACTTCTATCTGTCCAAATAAATTATTGATCATTTCTAAGAAATTGATAATTTGTTTTTTGTCTAGTTAAATATTGGGCCCAAGTGACCCTGACCTTCTCAAGGAAATCTGCGGATTACCTGACACCAGGACATTACCTGTAACTTACAGATTTTGCTATGCTAACTTTTGTAATAACAGAAAGAAAAGAACAACTTTTCGTGATCATTTGATCATTATTTTAAATATAGAAGATTGAAATTTATGAATGATATTTTGTCAACACTTCATGTCAAAGTAGTTTATCGTTCTTTACAATGAGCTCATACCTCAGAATATCACTTATAAGTTCATTGGCATGAAAATTTCAGTATGGTCTTATAATAAGATTATGATACATGTGTAACAAAAAGAAAAAAAATCCATTGGCAGAAAAAAAGAACACAGTACATACACCCAACATAACATGTCTCATTGAAAATTGTCATCATCAAGCAAACTTCAAAAGCCACATTAAACAAATTGTCACTTGGATTGCACTTGATTCCGGGATTCAGATTGCTCAAATTCTACTTCATACATAACTTGTTGGATACGGATCTTGGCTAGGGCTTTTTGTTGATATGTAAAGCGTTTTAAGGACGCACATATACTGCGGCAAAATAAATTATCTTCATTTTCCTCTTCAAAGCCAGTTAACTGACCTGAGCGACTATCAGCTGCATAACTGTTATTTGAGTAGGAGTGATCCTGGAAAAAAATTACAAGTAGTAATATCAAAAAGAAAACATTTTTCTTGCAAGTTTTAAAAGTACAAGTAGAAGCTCACAAACCTTGCCAGTGCCAAAATCTTTACTGAGCGCTGAACTATGATGAGCATTTTCTTGACTGGCGTCATCATCAATGTCAGCGGTGTCAGGGCTGACTACAAATGATTCAGTGATGTCTTCCTGACTATTTTGCATCACTATACTTGGATTTACATCAACACTGACTCCTCCATCAACATTTAAAAGCCAATTTGGACGTGGTAGGATAGGTTTGTAGCCATAAGTTTCCTGTAGAACAACTTTATCTTTCTTTCGCTTCCCTCTTTTCCTGTGAACAAATAATAACATATTCCTGTAAGTGAATAAAATCTTAAGAAATAAGTTATATTTATCAAGCATCTATTAAAACTCACGCTCTCATTTTAACATGTGGTGCCAGCCAAGTCAACAAGCTATACAGAGGCCAGTCTCTAACTTGAGTACCACAAACTTCAGCAGCCTGCCTCTTACGACGATGCCTTCCAAACTCAACTCTTAGACGCGACCACCTCATTTGTGCTTCTACCTCTGTAAAAAATAGAAAGAGAAGAGTGACTATAACTTACCCAATAGATCATGAATAGAAAACTCTAGTACTGTTATGGATGATTATAATAGGTACAACGCCAAGAGACCATTTTACCTCCAAGATTAAGAGTCTCCGAAATGATTTTCCAAACTTCCGCCTTCTTAGCTTCATCCTTGAAATCTTCTAAATCTTTGTCATAGAGAAAAGGTTGATCTTTTACGAGTTGTATGAGCTTTTTAGAAAGCTCAAAATCAGGAGAAGTAGTATCCATTCTTGAAATTAATAACTTGAGAAAGGGGCAGCATTCAACCGCGATCGAAAGCTTTCGCAGATAGTGGCGATAACGCAAATCCTTTTCCGAAAAGGTATTATGCGTTAATTTTAACAGTATGTACCTCTCCAGTCCAGGCGGAGTCCCGGCTAACTAAGAGTATTTCTACTCCATTTTTCATCCACTTCGTCTGCAAGACATACTTTAACTGGGTGGGATCGACATTTATTCGACGATAAGTCACATCAATCATGTTGACATGTCCTTAAAATTTCAATAAAAAGACTAAACAAACGGTAGGTTATGAGATGAAGATCTAACGAAAAGCAATGTATTGGTAAGTACCACCAAAACTCACATTCATGTTCGTTAGATGCTGAAGTTTTCATACAAATTGCGAAGATAGTTTTGTTTTCATTACTACCACCACAGTTTGAAAAAAAACACGCGATGACAGAATATTTCTGGTATCAGATTTTACTACACACATTTTTTAAGTGTTGAAAATTATATTCGCATTTGATTATTAAATTCTGCACTGTGATTTTTTTGAAACCTTTGTTTCTTGAAAAATAGAATCAAGAATTTGATACATGTTTCACAGTTGGCTTTCCCTTTTACATTTAAAACGCACGTTATCACTCTTGTTTACTTTCTGTTCGACAACACTTTGCCATGAATTTCTATTTTCGGGCTTTTCCTTTATAGTTTTGTTCATCTTGGAAATATAAAGTGTTAAAGTCTTTGCGTAGTTGTAGGGGAGGGTATCCTCCCCGTTCGCCTTGATTCGCTGATTCGCTCGTGGTTTTAGAGTGTGCTTGCCAACCTCAACGTAGACATGCACAGTATGTCCAATAAAAAGATGAAACACAAGCGGATTTCTTCAGAAGTGTCAAGCGCCACAGACCATCAAATGCGACAGTTACCTATATCGAAGGAGCTTGTTTCCCATTATCGATCAAAACTTTCGGCCCTCAACCGAGATTATGAAGAGCTTTCATGCCGAGTTGAGGACTGTCGATCCTTATTTGATGGAGACTGCCGAATGCAGCAAGAGTTGGTGCAAAGGAATAATGAAGTATCTCGCCTTCAGCAGGCCGTCAGTGATTTGCAGGTAAAAATTCCAAGTTCTTCATATCTATATGTACATCTCAGTTGAAGCTTTTCCTGTAAAACAACATTTTTCTTGTTTCAGGTTTATGTTTTTGAGGAAAGAGAACAAGCTTTACGCCTTTTTGCTGAAAATGATAAATTGAAGTTACGCGAATTAGAAGATAGGAAGAAAATTGATTTGCTTCTCTCACTATCTGGAATTACTGAAGATGAAATTTCATTTTTCCTTACTGAGGCTGCTAAAAAGTCTGCCATAGTGCCTCAACGTCTCTCTAGGAAAACCCTGAAAAAGAGTGAACTTAAAGATGAATCAAAGAGGGAAAATAAAAAATCGAGTCCTTTAATTGTGGAATCTGAGTGTGACGATGTAGATATACTAAAACTAAAGGTATTTCTTGTGTTTTAAAATTTCTTAAATGTGAGTTCCCCTTGCACACTGTGTTCTAAGATATATCTCTCTTCAGATTCAGGCTCTTCAAGCCCAGCTCTCCGAGCAAGTACGTCTGTACAGAGACGAAACAGCAGCTTTACTTCAGGATCGGGAACTAGCACGTGCAGAACGAGTTGCTGAGCAAGCACGTCATGAACAATTATTTGAGGTGCTGACTGCTCGCCTTCAAAAATCCCAGTCACAAGTGTGTGACTTAACAGCAGCTCTGTTGCAATCGAAAAAAGATTTTCATGGTAATGAGGAGAATTGGACATTAGAAAGAGATCGCCTCATCAAGAACCTAGATTTATGCAAGGTATTATGTTTTGTATTTACAAGTTGTTTTAATCATCCTTTTTAATTCTCATTACTGATTCAATGTTTGTGTCTTTGTTCTCAGGAGCAACTTGGAGAAGTTTTTACACATGATGGAACTGTTATTCGTGGAGCTGGCATGCGATCTGCAAAAAGTTGTGGAGAGCTGTCTGTTTTGAAAGGCCAGCTCTCAGAAAGAGACCGCATGCTGGCCATGTACCAAGAGCAGTGCTCTGTTATGGAACAAGAAGTAGCAAGGTACTTCATTTAAGGTTAAAGTAACAGCCTGGAATAATTTTTTAAAATGTATATGAACTCAGTTTTTTGTTGTATTGTCACCAGACTGCGAGATCAGGCAGAATCTAGTAAGAATCAGTTTAAAACACGTGTTCAAAAAATGGCTGCTCAAGTGACCTACCTCCGCAACAAATATAATGAACTGGATCGAAGACGAATGCTTGAAGCTGAAGGGTAAGATATGTTTGGGATATTACTACATTATCATAAGTTTTCTCAATATCTTCTCAAATTTTAACCCACTTCGTTTTTATCATTTTGTTTGCCTTTTCTTCAGGTTCCGTTCAGATATAAGATTAATGCGATCAAGACTAAGGGATCTTGAAAGAGGCTTTTCACGACTTAATGCTAAGCCTAGTAGAACGGGAAGTAGTTCCAAAAGTATTGCTACTGAGTCCCTGAGTGTAAACACTGGATTGGTATCCAATGCTCAGGAAACTGTTGAGAGGGCAAGACAACTTGAGCAAGAGTTGAAGCTCATCCATAGCCGAGTTTTAAGTCTTGAATCTGAATTAAAGTTTAATGGTGACAATGAGTAAGTTTATTGCAAATCCAATTTACAAATGCTCAAATTATTGGTGTGTTGCTGTAAAAAGCCGATAATGTAAGATTTATTTCAGTCCAAGGGTTTGAAGAAAAACAAAGGTGCACTAGTGCCTTTTCAATTCGAAAGAATTCTTGTATAGTATTATATTTTGTGAAGTATAGTATTTTTTGTTTTTTTAGCCATCAAATATATGTATCTATAAAAAGGAAAATGTGGCAAGGTAATTTATGTGCAACATTTAAAGCTTCTCCTTCTGTGATATGGAAACGTATGGAAAGATTATTAGAGCATCGTGCCACATTCTTCTATTTATTTTGAACTTTATGTATAAATTAGAGTACAATTCAAAGCTGATGGCTATACATAGAAACTATTGATCTGAATTCTGCATGTGATATAACAACCTGTAGATGAAATTAGAAAATCAGTCATGATGTTTCATTTCCATGTTTTAAAAATAATTCCATTCTGCATCATGTGTGTTGGTTCTAATGATAAAGAACTGTCGTGTAGTTACCATTGTGTGTTTTACAGAATAAAACGTTTTCATCCATATCTACGCCTCTAACGTTATACCAGGGAGTAGTTATCTCATCTTTGACCTAAATGAGGCCCTTTGGTGGAGCTTGGAAGGTGTGCGGCGTGCGGCGTGGGATATAGGGCTGTGGAAAAGCTACCCGAGTCCGCATGAAGTGCCCGAGGCAGAGCAGGGATGAAGCAAACCCTTCACGCCGCCGCGTCCTCACTCATACCAAGAATTCTACCTGGTTCGACCACAATGGGCTTCGTCAGCTGTCTCGAAGGGAGATAGCTCTGTATTTCTATGCCGCTGAAACGCGGACCGACCAGGATGTGAAGGTAGTGTATTTTCTGTATTTACTGGGGTAGGACATAGCCGAATGTGGGGGGGACTGGTGACGCTATTGCTTCCCTGAGGGGGGCGTGGGGAGCTAGCCGTGGGGGGTGGGGGTACCCCCTGTTGGAAGGGGGAGGGGAGTTGCGGACATCCTGGTGCAGAGGAAAAGGGGGGAGGGGGGAGGGGGGCAAATATATCGATCCAGGGAGACCACCCACCCCCACCCCAACCCACAGGACCCACCGCACCGACCCAACCAGCCCCTGCCTCAACGCGGCGCGCGTGAATGCATTGAACAGGTGACCGTTGGCTCGTCTCGGGTCCGGCTCTTCAGAGAGCGCAAAGCCTGATGAATTCATCGGGCCAGATATTACTGTAGGGGGTGCTAACGAGGTCTCTAGTTAAGGGCTCAGAGGCACTGCCTCAGCCGGAAGGGGGAGGGGGGGTGTTGAGGGGCTCACGAGCGCCTTCGAGACCAGTTAAAATGTGGTAAGGGGGTCGGTTGCTGGGCATCGTAACATAACGAAAGGCGTAACGTAATAGCACAAGAAAAAATATAAAATTGAAGTTAAAAAGCGGCTTTGAAGCTTTTTCTCCTTTCTGCGTG